TATTGGAGGGTGGAGGTGGAAGGAAGAGGCTCTCTATGATTCCCCTATAGAAAGATAAGAGGATGCATTTTTGGGAGATGAGCCTTCCTCAACTGTGGGAGGAAGTGCAGAGCATTTTGGACTTTCTTGGCCAGGTTCTGTTGGTGGTGTCGATAGATCAAGATGGGTCATCTGTGATGTGGATACTAGCAACTCCATGATCTTGACCTGCTCCATCATGGTGCTGTTGATGTGATGGTTGTCAACGTCACCTCTGTAGTCATTTGGGTGTGGAGAGATATGATGTTGTCCTGTCCGTGTCTGTGTGTTAGATAAACAACTGAATTATTCAGATAAATAAACAAAACATTTTAAATCACATTTTTCATCTTGACATTTGTATTAAGATGCTAACCATCTTAAACGAGCTTGACAAGACTACTGCAGTTCTGACCACAAATGATTTTGTTCAATAGCTCAAAAACAGCCATCTTTAACTAAAATATTTTTAAATCCTTTCTTTGTTTTGCTTTGCACTCTTTTTAGCTGATAATTAGTCTAGCTTACTTGTAGCCCAGGTAGCTTGCTGTAAACCAACCTGGACATACCTGTCAAATTATTTCCTGCTGTCTTCCCGTTTAAATATTTTCCAGTAATTAACCCCTTTTGAATACTCTTTGCTTAGTTCATTGTGTATGTACCGAATGATTATTTTGGATTAGCCTAAGCAACATACCCTTGGACCTAGCTTTACTGCTCCACTACCAACATTCTTTCGTGGCTACTGTTCTCATCAACAACAACGCATATTCACGACGAAGTATAGCTTGCAGTCTTAAATACAACTTATATGCAAAGCATTAAGATATAGGGGTGTATAATCATTGTAAAACAAATCTTACCTTGACGTTGTCTTGCCGAGACACACCGGTCTCTCCAGTTTGGATTGTAGATTTGACTTCAGACTGACGCGAGTCACGCGACGCCGGTTCAACGAATAACGTGATTGGCCAAATCAATTCAACAAGGTAACAACACAAGCGTTGATTGGATCTCAGTCCGGCCAACGTTTGTAATCAGCTAGCGAAATTAAATCAATTTTTATACTTTAATGTGCAACAATTGGCGTTGGAAACAATCGGTAATCTTTTTGTGAATTATTCATACAGACAAATTAAAAAAATGAGCCACACAGCTGCTGGGTAACTATCAAATCAAAAACTAAACGAGATAGACGGACTTGGCCCACTGCCTAAAGGTGACAAATCTAGCGGAACTAATTTCCGCTAGGAGTGTGTTTCCCCCCGGGACGATTTCACCGGCACACCGTGCTGGTTTGCTGTTGTCAGTTGCCATGACAGCGGCAGCTGATTAGCTAAGCGGGACCAGGTGCGGGTGTTTGGTGTGGGGATCTGTGATTGGGAAACACGGCCCAGAGAGGCAGTTAAAAGGAAAAGGAAAAGGCATTCGAGTGTGGTACTCCCCCGGGAGAGATCGATTTCTTTGGCAGTGGCCTGGGTTTGCGGGGATCTTTGGAGCGGCTGTGAGGATCTGACTGGAAAGGGGTGCAACGGTGATTGAGGGAGTGCAAGTTGGGATGTGAAGTGAGTGAATTGTGGAGATTGAGTCAAGATTGGAGAATACCATCACTCGAGGGAGAAAGATAAGTAATGAAACACCGGATCCGTGTGAATGCATGTCTTGCACTGAATTGGATAAGGAATTGTGAAGTGTATTGACCAAATATAATTACCACTAAGAGTGTGAACTGATTCATCTTTGAAAACCCTGATATCTTCTTCTGAGTGTGAAAGAGTGTTGAAGACGCTGTGTTCCATGCGGTGCGAAATCTTCTGCATCTCATCAGCTTCTGAGTGTTGAATCAGCGCAACAGTGGAGGGATTGAACATTGGGTGAGTGCTGGCCTTATTGCACTAAGATTTGAGAGTGGATTGCGGTGCCTGAATTGAAGTCTCACACAGTATTGGACTTGACGTGAAGTTGCAGTGTGTGGATGTACATGTTTATTTAACCGCCAGTGTTCTCCAGTTCACATTCTCGCCAGTGTTTGCGGAACGAAGCCCTCAGGTTGGATGTGTAGGTTCCACTTCGGCCACCAGGTCCTGTGATATGGGAGAGGAGTGTGATTGTCCTGTTTAACTTGTCCTGTCTATTTAAATAGAACGTTCCTCTGCCACCGCCTTCTTGTGTGCTGCCTGTTCAGAGGAGACACACACCCCAGCAGCAGCGCTGCTTGTCCCGAACCACCCGCTCCAGCCGTAAGTCCTCACTTCACCGAAATAGAATTGAACCTGCACACTTGTCTCTGTCTTGGATTATACAGGTACCCTTGTCTCTGGCTGGAGCCGTCAAGGGCGGAAAGGCAATCGGGGGACCTCACACCTGCTGCTCAGTGACGCCACGGGGGAGAGCACCCTACACTGAGGAGACTTGCCTACCCGACTAGCTACTTGATCGGCAGCGAGTCCCCCTTCTGGACTCCATCCCGTGTGCCGATCATCTGCCGAATAGCTGACGCTTGGAAGAAACTTACCTGCTACCCACCTGTCCTGTGGAGAGAGTCCGCCTGTATTACGCCGAAAAGAGCCTCCTTACCACGTTACTTACCTGCACGCCAGACGGGCGTTCGGCTCCCTCCTCCTCTGTGGCTGCCAGTAACCCGGGCCCCCGCAGTGAACCCCTCGGCCTCCCTCCTCCCTGGAAAGAGAGATGAAGCCCGTATTAAGACTTTTAATTCTTGCTTTTATTCAAATAAAGATTGTTACTTTTAGAAATTCTTCTTGTCTGTCTGGTCTCTGGTACGCTCCTTGAGGTGGTCCTGGGTTTGAGGGGTGGGCGCAGTCTGGCTTGGCCCCCCTGACCTGTGACATGAACAATGTGGTTAAATTCTATTATTTATCAATAAAATATAGTAATTTAAAGGTAAAAAAAAAAATCTCCCAAATTACATGAAGAAATATTATAAAAATGATATAATCTTCGCCTGGCCCCCCTTTTGTAGATTAATATATTTCCAAGCCCCCTACCAACATGCACCCACATGAAGACAGTCTCAGACATGATCTTGCTTGCAAAATCCTATATGATTTATTTGAAACGTAAATACAGTACACTGTAAACCCTAATGTTGTCTTTACTTAAACAATCAAGTGTACTTGACTAAACATTACTTTAAATTTAGCATTTTGGCCATGTCACTCAAATAAGTTCAAAACTTATTTACCTTCAAAATACAAGAACTTAAGATTTCAAGTGATTAAAATCATGATTAACCCTTACAAAAGGTCATTTTCACAAATGTTGTTTTCTTGACTGTGAAATGAATACATTCATACATGCTTTCTTCAAGTGCAAGGTGTCATTCTTATTTTACCAGAAAACAAATGGCTTTCATTATATTACAATTATTGATCGTAATGAAAATAAACTGATTTTTTTTTAAACCTGATACTTTAAACTTGATAAATAAACTTGAATACTTATATACAAGTGTTTTTGTAATACACAGCAAAATCCCCAGTGTTAAATTTACACTGCTCAGTGTTTATGAGTCCACACTCAAGAGTGTTATATAAGTAACATTGAAGTAGTGTTAAAGTTAATGAGATAATTAAGTGATTAATTGAGTGATGATTGAGCATCATTTGTACAAGTTCCGAAAGTTAACAATGCACCCAGTTTTTTTTTTTTTGCTCGATGGTTTCCCCTCGGATCAGTTTAGTAAATCCCACTTATTCGTATTACATATATTTTTAATCGCAGGTAGGAAGATAACCACTGGGAACTGGGTAAAGGTGCATGAACCTGACAGAATGGACACAAAGACTGAAACAGATACTGTATATTTGAGAAAATCAGACTTTTTTCGACAGAAGTGGGCACTTATTGAAACATATTTGCTTGAATGAAAAAACTGTAATTTATATTAATGTTTGAACCATGTAGATATAATGTACTGGTATGTGGTGTATTTACTAAAGTGCTGTCAGGGATTTGTTTATTTATTTTAACCTTGTATATATATTTTTTTCTTCATTGTTTTTTATTTACTTTTCATTATTAATATTGTATGTAAATGTTATGTAACAGTGGTTTGTTTAAAAAAAAGTTCAATAATTAGTTATATAAATATAGACATATATTGAAACAATATTTCCATTTTGGGGTAAACTATCCCATTTATAGTCTGTTTTTGATCTGATTAACCATGCTTTCCCTAAACAAAACAGGCCATACATTTTAATAAAATAACATATATTATAAAGCCACTTTAATGGCATTAGATTTTTTTATTTGTTATTTACATTTGATAAACTACACTTTCAACAAAACATTCGCAGGTCTGTAAATGGTGTTTTAATGCATGTTTTGCTGTGGTTTCGGATGAGTTTGCGCTGCAGTTACACCGTTTTGACCAGCAGGCGTCACCAGCGCGTCGCGTTTCGAGCGCTTCATTACAGTGAATCATTTCGAAAAGCTTTTTTCTCTCATTACCACTGTTAGTATCACTTAATCCTCTTTAAACTTTCGCCTAACACACGACCGTCCGCTGACTGCAGCCGAGCACCCTACGCGTTTATTGTCGACGCACTCGCCATTGTACTGTTTTCCGAAAAGACAAGGGCAGATTAGAGAAAAAAATCACCTAACGTTACACCAAAAGTAGTAACAGTAAGTATGCTTCTCAAATCGCATCAGCATAACGTTACCTGAGTAACGTTAGGTAATTAAACGTTACTCGTTTAATAACGATTAAACGATCGTCTGGTGTGATCCGTCGTTTATTTTATAGCTCATGTCGTCGGTGTCTGTTCGACTATTTTACGAATACATTTATATTTATATTTAATCTGAGGCTTTTAACGAATTGTAACATCTCTGTTACTTCCGCTTAACACGAGCCAATCAGCGCGCTTATCTTCTTTGTAAGCCAATCAGAAGGCGCTTTGTCTTTGGTTCTGACCAATTAGGGCAGAGCCAGCGTGGAGCTTCCTTTCTCAGCAGCAGCAGAAGTGAAGTGAGCTGAACTGGCTGACCCAGCTGCTGGCTGCAAGGAATGCTGCAGTGCACTATATGTGGATATGGGCTGGATGGGAATGATTAGGGTTGCCCAACAGTGTCGTGATCGTATTACAGAGGAGGGGGAGTGAACATTAGGTTTTCTTTTCAATCGGAATACATGTTGTATTTGAAGAGTTTGGGTAACGTTTGGAATTAAAGCTGTGATCTTTGGGAATCATTTGCATCATATGATTACCGAATGTTTGTGCTCCATATTTCTGCAAATCACGCTCTGCTCAAAGCCGCCTGTTTCACGCAGCTGGAACAACTAGGCTCGGCTGCTGCCTTTATCTTTATTTGTCAATAGCACCTCATGTTCGGGTCGGTTCTGCAGGGCAACCATGTTTTCATTGAGGATCGTCACGGCGGATTATTACATGAGCAGCCCGATCCGAGAGCTGGACGCCTGTTACTCTGAGTTCAGAGAGAGTGATGTCAAGAAAGTGCCCGTGGTGCGGATCTTTGGGGCAACACCAGCAGGTATGCATGCATACATTTGTGTGTTCATGTTGCGTGAAAACATCTCATAACTTTTGCAAACGTTATCGCACGAGTTTATGCAGTTTCTGTGCCTGTGGTCTTTGTGCATTAAATAAGTGGGGAAGGAACATATTTCTTGGTGTTCTGGAGGTTTTGCGCCATGTTGTCAACATGGTCTGACCGCCGCCATGTGGACGTGTTTACTCCGGCCGTATATCTTAAACCTAAACGCTATCTGTTGACTATCCCTATGCTATATTTGGTTACAAATCATATCTAAAGATAGCAATAAATCTGTGATGTCTGATTTCATAATCACGTGAGACTGTCTTCGCTGTGTGATTTAAGGTTGCAGGGAGAAAGACAGACGGGGTCATTGTTCTGGGGTGGTGATATTAGTGTTTCTACAACATGCATGCACATTTCTTTTCTCAATACCGAGAGTTACTCATGTTGTAACGCTATGTTTCTTAAAGTCACCATAAAATCAAAATGTTCAATTCTTATTTTTTTGAAGGAATTATGCAGTGTTTATTTATAAGTGAGTATCATCAATGCATTATCCGTGGACATCTTTAAAAAAAAAAGAAAGATTTATTTTAAATTAATTTGCCCTCGTAATCTTAATTTAAATTACTTTCTCTTGCAACGACTTTTCCGATGATGTGTTCACCGACTCGAGGGCGGGTCAACCTGTCACTCACATGATATTGCAGAACCAATCAATTCCCGATGGACAAAATAAAGTCCCGCGACCCCTCCCTACATGTTTTTTTTCTTGATCAAGAAGCCCCTTAAAGCCATTATTTTCACGTGACGTCACACCAGCCATTTAACAGGTTTGTGTTAAGTATAATGTAGTAAGACAAGACAGTGATATTAAAAGACCAAATTCAGTATCTCCTAATGATGCATACTATACAGGCAAGGAGATGAACCCAGAATCTAAACATAACGTACAGTTTTTCATTAAAGGGATGATGATGAGGACCCTATGATTTACTCACCCTATGATTTAGCCTACTCACCCTCAAGCCATCCTAGGTGTAAATTCTTCTTTCAGACGAATACAATCAAAGTTATATATAAAAAATGTCCTGGCTAATCCAGGCTTTATAATGGCAGTGAATGGGAGCCCAAAATTTGAAGCCCAAAAAAGTGCATTCATCCATTATAAAAGTATTCCACAAGACTCCCGGGGGGTTATAAAGGCCTTCTGAAGCGAAGCAATGCGTTTGTGTAAGAAAATAAATAAATCCATATGGATTGACATTAAAACTATATTTCACGATGTATGATGTAGAAGTAACGTAAGCTTAAACGCCTCTCACGGTTTAAACAAATAGGGCTGTGCAACAAACTCCTCTACTCTTATATTGAAATCCTCTGACATTTCTATTTAAAATTTCTTGTTTTAGACTTCTAATTCGCTACCGGTGTGTTTTTTCTTCTCTATCCTCTGCGCTTCCACGTTCGTCATGCGTCGGGTCAGGGGTTTACTCTTTCGCTGTGTACAACTGTCTGCCGGAAGCTAGTTATTATAGCTAATAAAGTTTTAAATATTTCTTACATAAACCCATCGCTTTGCTTCAGAAGGCCTTTATTAACCCCCTGGAGCAGTATGGATTATTTTTTATGATGGATGGATGCATTTTTTGGGCTTCAAAATCTCGCCAAAACCCCCCCATTCTCACACCATTCTTATGAGTGCTTATGTCCTTTCGATTTCTTACAGGTTGAGTTGTTGTTGCCCATAACACGCTAGCATTTTGCTTAGGGCTGGGCGATATATCGCACGATATTGTTATGCGCATCTCGTCAGTAAAGCCGGTTCCTTGATTAGTAGTAAATCGCCTTCACCTGCTTTCAGATGGAGCGGCATTTACTACAAAGAGCCGTAGTTAACTGACAAGCTGAGCCATATCGCGGACATATCGCCAGCGATAATTGATGCGATATGGCTCAGCTTGTCAGTTAACTACGGCTCTTTGTACACAGCAAAAACTCCAGTGTTAAATAAACACTCCTGGGAGTGTATATGAGTCCACACTCAAGATTGTTAAAGTTAATGAGATAATTACGTGATTAATTGAGTGATGATTGAGCATTATTGAAGACACCTAAAGCAGAATCACTGAAGGAGAAAATCTAAAATTGTAAGCCACCGTTATGGCGATCATTGTTTGCTTTAGTTGGGCTCTTGACCTTTAGATTAATAACTTTAGATTTTGTTTGGCTGTTGTATCTGAGTTGTAACTGCCAGATCAACAAAGAAAAAAAATGATCTAATTATGTCAGTTATATTATGACAATCATCATTTGATCTTTATGTTTGTGATTCATGCTGTTGATTACAGCATAACTGTGATTCTGCATAAATATCCAGCATTTTAGATATAATGTAAAGGATTTCTTAAGAGTTGTTTAAAAAAAAATCTTTCTTTTAGGCACACACAGACGTCAAGATTCAGTCAATGCATCTCAACAATGGTGACGAGCAGAATATTCAATTAGGAAAAGTAAATTACATAGACAATTCAGATCATAATTTATTCATACCGCAATGCATGATGGGAGCCATTAATGAGTTGTGATTGGTGGCAGCCACTGCAACATTCATTATTAGTGTCACCATTGTTGAGATTCACAGGCTGATTATTGATGTCTGTGTTTTATAAATAAATTCATTTGAAACTATTTTTAATCAGAACAATGTTTATTAAATATTTTGGTTTATAAGAAAAATACTGATAATAATATGCTGTAGAATCACAAAGCTGTTACTAATGATTTAAACCAAACTATCTCAATAAGTTTCATTTTTCAGATCACAGCATGATTACGCCTAAACATAACCAACACTATCAGATCACACTTTTCTGTGTTCATTTGACTGTTATAAATCAATAACAGCAGACAAACAAAATTTAAAGATGAAAGTATCAGAGTCCAACTAAAGCAAACACTGATCGCCATAACGGTGGCTTACAATTTGTGATTTTCTCCTTCAGTGATTCTGCTTGTTATCATCAGGTGTCTTCAATAATGCTCAATCATCACTAAATTAATCACTTAATTATCTCATTAACTTTAACACTCTTGAGTGTTAATTTAACACTCATATCTGCATCATATCTTCCATCTGAAAGCAGGTGAAGGTGATTTACTACTAATCAAGGAACCGGCTTTACTGAAGAGATGCGCATAACATATCGTGCGATATATCGCCCAGCCCTAATTTTGCTAATGGACGCTGATTGGTCAGTGAAGGACTGATTACGACCAGAGACACCGCTTGATGGCATCGTGGCATATACTATATGGTACAACTACAATGCAGTGCAAATAGTAAATATAAGATACAGTGAGTAATAGTAAATAGTTTAGTCAATAAAATAAACAAACAGTATACAGCAAATAAAATAGTAATGAAAAGGCTATATAAAAATATAGGCTATATAAAATAAAATGACACAACCCTGTCTATTTTTGTTAAATTTCAGTTTTATTGATCAGTAAGAGACATTATAACAGTATAAGTAGCTTAAAAGGTATAATAAGTTATACAAGACAATAAATAAACCATTCAGACACAGCAGGATACAACGTTAAAATAGCCAAAATATAAAGTTATGAAACTTCACTTTGCCCTCAGCCAAAACGATTTGCCAGGGAACAAATTATACGATTAATGATACCAAAGATCGCCCGTTAGATATACACAAGACGAATTATATCTCATGTTTAACCACTACTAGAGACATCAGAGCCGGCGGCGAACGTCACAAGCACTAGCCGAGGAAAGGCTGTTCCAGGCGGGGTGCAGAGCGCTGAGACCCGGTGAAAGACTGGTTCTCACAACTCCGAAAACGTCAGATCAAACTTTTAAATAGGCGCTATCTTTATAAATAAACCACAGATTTGAGCTTTAAACAACTACATTGTCGACTGAAAAACTATTAAAACTACATTTCGTGACACAATAACAGTAGTATTTTTAAATTTCGCGGCTTCTCTCGTCTGTCTATGCGCGAAAGCACCAGTGAATGAAGGATTGCCGTAAAGCAGGTTTCTGGTCGTACGATGTGTATGACGTCATTGACATTTTAAAAGACTTTTTAAAGCAAATAAGTGACTCTAAAAAATCTAACACCCAGTAATGAGTAATTTTGTTGCATCTTCTTTCGAATACAACATTCAAATTACTAGACAAAAAATTATATCCTGAGAAAAGTGGATTTTTAGGGGTATTGCTCCATAGACCTCCATTCATTCTGCACTCCGCCTGTGAGCGCCCTCATATGGACCTAGAGTGGAACTGCAACCAGTTCAGAACCCGGAAGTTTAATGTGAGTGGGAGTTCTCCCAATATTAGACATTCTCTGATAGCACTCACGCAGAGATGGCTCGCACTCACGGCCGGATCCCCTCCCCCTGTACACCGGTACCTGTTCAGTAGGATGGAAGCTGTAAGGAGTTGAAATAAGGTGTGGCCCCTTTAAGAGCTGCGCGCGCCCTGTTTAACTGTCGGCAGTCTGTATTGTATGTGCGCCTCAAACACCACATGTATACGGCGCCGGGTTATTTCTGTTTGATGCTTATTTTATCAGATCTTTTTTGCCATAAAGCAATTCGTTACATCGCAAGACCTGATATCACGCGACACTTCCTGATGCTGCGGCCGGCGGGTCGCCGGCTCAAAGTTGCAAGTGTGTTTTTTCCGCTCACATGCGATAGGGGGGTGCGAAACGACCACCAGTCAACCTGAAAAGAGTAATATAACCATTCCAATGACTCCGAAGCTGTTCGGTTGAGGTAAAAAAACCTGCATAGTTCACCTTTAAAGGGATACTCCACTTTTTTTGGAAATAGGCTTATTTTACAACTCCCCCAGAGTTAAACTGTTGAGTTTTACCGTTTTTGAATCCATTCAGCCGATCTCCGGTTCTGGTGGTACCACTTTTAGCATAGCTTAGCATAGATCATTGAAGTGGACAAGA